CCCGCGGTTCCGGATCAGTCGGCATCCGCTTGCTAAGTTTGGCACTCAGACGCGTTGGTCCCACCACCGAACACCAATCCGCGACACAGCTGAGGCCTGCCCGACTCCACAGGAGCCATGGCCAGCACGATGACGACGTCTCAGTGGCTCAACGCTATAAAACCTTCAGCCACAGTTGTGGACCCTACTTTTCACAGTCTCGACAGCTACCCTGGTTCTCCGCTCGGTTTAAGCCCTTTTGGCCATGTCAATCAGACCCTTGAAGAGATCGGATACGACGCTGAGCGATGATACTGAGCTTACGAACGTCACGTATAACGACAAGTACGTTATAGTGTATGACTTTGGTAATATCGGTATGTTTTGTCATTGAGGCATTGTGTTAGAGCGGACGGCTGACGATGACTAGATGACGACGTCGCCATCGCAGAATGCAGGACGCTATTGCATGACCTAGAGTCTGCAGGCCTCAATACTGAGGTACGCCCTGGGTATGATCAAACATTGTTGGTGTTTGTCCAAGCGCCCAGAGATCTGCTTGGCAACACAGTCTACAAGTCGCGGTACGTTCAGCTCGTCCGTAACCTCATGATTTGGAAGGAGGCTAAGTAGGCTTTTGCAGAGTCAAAGATTGGCTGTATGGCATCACTAAAGACCATCCTGGCGGGACCGCTAAGACCGTTGTCACAGCAGAGTTCGAAGCCGAAGATCTGCTTTCCATGTATCACCTTGTCAACTGGCGCAAAGAGCTTGGAGGCGCAGGTATTACACCAGAGTTTCCACCATGGGAAAACGTGACCGCAATCTTCCCGTTACAAAACTCAGGTGCAAACCGCGCGTTGTTGGCCCATCTGAGCACTCGTGTGTTCTTAGAACCAGCCGACCTGGATCGTATACGTGATCTATGGGGTGCCAAAGTTGCCTTCTACTTTGCCTTCATCCAGACTTACTTTCGATCTTTGGCATTCCCTTGCGCTGCTGGTGTATTTGCCTGGGCATTCTTGCCGAAATACTCTCTGGTGTTCGCACTACTAATCGGAGTCTGGTGCACTGTGTTCTTGGAGTATTGGAAGATCAAACAGACCGATCTCGCAATCCGATGGAAGGTACGAGGCGTGGGCGACCTCAAAGTCAACCGTCCGCAGTTTCGCTATGAGCAAGAGATCATCGACTCAGCTGGAAGAGTTCGGCATGTATTCCCAAGATGGAAGAGGATTGTGCGTCAATTGGTCGTCATACCATTCGTTCTTGTCAGCACTCTGTTACTCGGGATTCTAATCGCATTCGTCTTTACCATCGAGACATTCATTGGAGAAGCTTATGAAGGGCCTTACAAGTTCTATCTGGTCAGTATATGCCCAGTCCCACCCATTGCGCTGTACTGTACTAACGTTTCACTAGGAATACCTGCCTACGGTGCTTCTTGCAGTTTTCTTGCCATACGCGACGAACTTTCTGGAAGACATCGCTACTGCGCTGACGGAATACGAGAACCATCGAACAGCTGATCATTACGAGATGTCGCTCACTCAAAAGATCTTTGTGCTCAACTCAATCACCAACTATCTACCAATCCTTCTTACAGCATTCATATACGTACCCTTCGGTGGACAAATTATACCGTTGCTGGAACGCGTTATCGATGCCACACTAGGCGCGCAGACTAGAGCCAAGATGGTGTTCAAGGCCGACCCTGACCGGCTGCGTAACGAAGTCATCGCGCTCACCGTAACAGGGCAGGTCTCGAGCGCAATCGAAGAGCTTGCGCTACCTTGGCTGAAGACTCAGGTCAAACAATGGTGGCGTGACCGACAAGCTAGCCGAGCAAAGAATCGCAGCAGCGACTCTTATGAGAGTCCAACTGCAGAAGATCCAGCGGAATCTCGCTTTCTACGGCGCACGAGACGGCAAGCTTTGAGACCATCATACAACGTCCAAGAGGATATTGCAGAGATGGTCATTCAGTTTGGCTACCTTGCGCTCTTCAGTCCTGTGTGGCCTCTCGTGCCGATCGGCTTCTTCATCAACAACTGGATCGAGCTGCGGTCGGACTTCCTGAAGATCTGTGTCGAGCATCAGCGTCCTCACTCAACACGTAGTGACGGAATCGGGCCGTGGGTGGCCAGTCTAGAGTCATTGACATGGTTGGGGAGTATATCCAGTGCGGCCATTGTACACATGTTCGGTTCCCAGCAATTCCTTGGCAAATATCTTGGCTTGAGCATGTGGGCCAGCTTACCGGTGACGATCCTCATTTCCGAACACATCTTCATGGGCTTCAGAGCTGCTGTGCGATTTGCCCTAGCCAGGATCGGTTCGGAGCAGACTCGGAAAGAGCGCGCAGAGCGATACGCGAGGAGAAAGAAGCATCTGGACGAGCTAGAGGCAACTGCAGAGAAGAAGTCCCATCTTGACGTGACGGAGCGGGAGAGACGTAAAAGCGTTCGAATCAATGCAGCCGACATATTCTGGACGAAACAAGCTGAAGTAGGAGCCAGCGCGGATGCCGGCGTAAGTATCATCAAAGCATTGAAGGGTGCACAGAAGGAGAGCATCGTGACCGGTCGAGAGAACAAGATTGATTGAAACGCTGGGCTGAGTAGCCAGAAGACATCTCTGCTGTCCCTCCATGTATGTACAAAGTCTTCCCCAATCCACCACAAAATATATACAGAAAGTGTGCGATATGCACGGTGTGTGACGCGCTTACTTGTTGATAGCAGCAAGGACAGTGTTGTAAGCTGTCTTGGCGTTGTAGTTGGAGTCGAAGAGAAGGGGGTTGCCGTTGGGCCTCCAGGAGTCGTTGTCGCGGATACCCCAGACGGTGATACCAACGCAGTTCTTCTGGTCCAAGCAAGCCTTCACAACGTTCTGCCAGTCAGAGGTCTGGGCGTTCTGGATGTCGACCTCGGTCATCGCACACTCTGGGGCGGCAGCGCAGAGCGCGGCCATGGCGGCGGGAGCGTTGGCACCCTGGCCGGAGGTGATGTGGCCCTGCGAACCGATACCGTCGATGGGGACACCGGCGGCAATCCACTTCTTGACGTTCGTAACCATACCCTTGGTCTTGGAGTAGGACGCTTGGTCCAGGCTAGGCGGTTGTTAGTGTCATGATCTTGATGGGGTCTGAGAGCATTTGCTTACTTGTAGTCGTTGATGTAACGCTTCGCAGCAGGGTCAACGGCCTTGGCTGTCTCGAAAGCAATTCGGACGAAGTCCTCACCGAGGACGTTGTAGAAGACACTGTGGCGGAGGCTACCGTCCTCCTCGAACTGTGGGGAAGTCAGTCTATGTTCCAGTCGGGCCGGGATATGAAGATCAACTTACGATCTCGTTGACGACATCCCAAGCGTAGACCTGGCCCTTGTAGCGGTTCATCAGGGTGGTGATGTGGTTCTTCATGACAGTGGTCAAGGTGGCCTTGTCATTGATCTGGGAGACCCAGGAGGGCAGCTGAGAGTACCACACAGTGGTGTGTCCACGGATGAGCTTGCCATTGTCCTTTGCGAACTTGGCAGTCTGGTCGGCGTTGCCGAAGTTGAAGTTTCCACGGGAAGGCTCGGTGGCATCCCACTTCATGCTATCCGGCAGTTAGTATCGCACACAACACTGCGTTCGGGAGGTTGGAAAGACTTACGAGTTCTCAGGTGTAATGGCACCGAAGTTCGCCTTGATGATCGCGGCGTTCTTGCCTTGGTTGAGACGACCTGGGTCAGCGCAGGTACCGAAGTACTTCCGGCCCTTTGCCTTCATGGCAGCATCGATGCTCTGCGCAGCCTGGCGCTCATCGAGAAGAGCCTCTGGCTCAGCGAAAGGCGCAGCCTGGACCAGCGCGGCGGCGGACAAGATGGTGACGAGAGAAATCTTCATGGTGAGAATGGTATATCGAGACTGGTAACTGAACTTGGACTGTAAAGAACGTAGGTTGCTGGATACCTCAATCCAAGTCGAGAGCCCCAGACTACTTATACCAGACCTCCAACTCCCTCGGCCCTATACTGATATTGCTCGCAAGATTAGCGATCTCCGCACCCTCCTGCTCATTACGAACAATATCCATCCGACCAAGCCCACCTCGGTCCCTCCTTGCGCATGCCGCCACCAGTACGGGGAAACATGTATGCGTTAGCCCTAGGAAATTTACCCACATGTAGCGGGAAGCCGGGCAATTCATCTAACACGCCACAGTGCCTGCGCGTCGTCGATCAGCCTGTACCCAAAGCGCGCCCGGCGCTTCCCCCATGCAGTATAGACAACGAAACGTCGTTGTTTCGCATTAATCTAAATGAAGCTTCCGGTGCCGGTTCTTGTCTTCCTTAGCACCACACGTGTACCCTTCGGGAGTTCGACTTAAGCAGGCTTGGCGCCTCTAATCGCGGTTAAATGCAATGTGCCACAACAACCGATCCCTGCGCGATGCTGCGTTGCGTCACGGGGAACATGACTGCAATCTTTTAGGATCGATGCATAGGCGGCGTATTGCCGGTGCCAAAATGTCTTGTATTGCTTCTGCATGCCGTTATTCGTGGAGAATACTTTTTGATGGGCGTGGGGCCGGTAGCGATCACGCTTCATTAGGGGGCATTTCAGCCGCTGTGGAGTGGAATATGGGGTGCGTTTCCGGGGAAAGAGGATATTGGGTGTCCTTCTATCCGGGGAAGGCACCGTACATGGGCGTTGTGGTGTGTTGACCTGGGATGAGCGTTGCTTTCCATCACATGCGATTGCTGTTACCGATCACGGTGAGTAGAATACATCCGCCAATTGCATGAAGCTTTTGGATGACAATCCTAGCCTTCCTTTGTAGATGATGGCATGTTTGACTATACAGTCGAAGGAAGTCGTGTTGAACATCTCGTAAGACGGAAGCTTTCATTTCGTACTACATGTGGAGTGTTCTAGATGGAGACCCACTCCCACCATCAAGGAATGGTATATTACCGATCGGAGGCCGAAAGAGCATGGACGGCGTTCATCTCATTCTACGCCTTTTCTTCCCATCATATTTCCACCTTGCTCACGATCATTGCCGCGTCGCCGAAGTTCAGGTTCCTCACCTGCAGTGCAGCAGCCTTGTTGTGTCGTTCGAAAAGTTCCTTTGGAAGACCGACTGATGTGGGAGCCCAGCGCAAAGAACTTGAAATCCGTATCTCGCCTGCCTCGCCCTCTGCATCGTGCACACGGTAGTGTGTCTGCTTGTCCGTCCCGATCGAGTCACGGAGACGCAATGTCTGCGACCAGAGAGAGCCAATCATTTCTGGTGGAGATTCGATATGACCCACTGGTCGACAGTCCCAAGAGAAACAGATGCCTTTTGTGTTCATGCGATCCCAACGCGTGAAGCCACGGACCTGCGCCTCAAAGTTGTAAAGAAATTGCTCAATGTCGTGTTCAAGTCGCAATGCTTGGCCTCTGGAACAAGGAGTCCATGCTTCTACTTGTGAATTCATTGTCTCAATGAGATCGAAAGCACGGTGAATCATCTGGTGGATGCTGTATAATTCATTCGTGCATCCCCTTCTCACCCTCTTCTCAGGATTGAAAGGTGCCACGAAATGAATGTTTACTCCATCTAGGAAAAGTCCGAAGAGAGGGTGAAACATGTCACATAATGCTGCTGTGAACACCATCTTGCTGCTCAGGACGCTGCCCCAGATGCCGCTATGTAGAGTGACTTGGACCTTGACTCGGCGTAGATGAGCGAAAGGGTTTGTCTGACCAGTCGGTGCCTGCTCTGGTAGAGCAATCATGCTGGTATAGCCTGTGTGCCGCTTCGACAATCGCTTGAACTCGTCGAGGTATTTGCGATAATTTACGGTCGCGACATGGGATAGCTCTTCGGCGGCGAGCTTGCACGAGAGGACAAAGCCAGAATATTCGGTACCGTTTGATAATGGCGGGAGCGCATCAAGCTCGATGTAACTGTAGATCTGTTCTCGGATATCCCACGGTAGGTCGAAAAATGGCCTGGGACGTGGAGGGCGGAACGGCAACTGAGTGCTCCACGTCATGGTTGATGGTGGTGGCTGTCGGTACCAAGTGTTGGGGTGTGCGCTGTGGTCGCAGGTTCATGAATTGGTGAGAGGGTGATGCTATCGAAGGGTGGCTTTTGAGCAGCATTGAAGTGCATGTGCTGTAGGCAGTTGTAAGTGAGGCCCCGGCGTGCCAAGCCAGGAAGGCGCGAAGAGCTCACTCCAAGGCAACACCACATAATGAAGAGATAAGTTATCGATTCTCGAGCTCAATCGTGGCGGCGGTTTCTCACGACCTGGCAATGTCCAGGTTTGTGTGGCACTCAGATGATCGTAAGCATTTTCGGTCGAAGTTCTGTCTTCATCATTCATAAATAATACACACTCTAGATTACAGCCAATATGCTTCCAGTCAACCTCGCTATGATATGACATCTGCTGAGCATTAGCTTACGCTTCGTCTTCGGCTTTGTTTTACTTACACACGCCTGCCAATGCAAAAAACTCTAGCATCAAATGCTTAACCGCGGCTGCAGGTGCATCCCTTCCTCTTGTCGGGATCGGTGCTTGGCCACCCCACACAGATTGCGCCGCCTGAACACACCTTGCCGCTGACACCGCAGTTGTCCTTTGAGCAGGGGCCTGAGTAGCCTTGTGGGAGAGGATCGGGCATAGCGACGGCAACGCTAGCGAGGAAGGTGGCGATGATGACGGAGAAACGCATGTTGGAGATGAGGAAGTGATAAAGTGGTGGTGGTGGTGTTGCAAAGATTGAGGACGATTCGGGTGGGCCTTTATAGAAGAGAGAACAGTAGGTCTTCGACTTTCGGTTCTCGTTGTATAGCGATTGGACAAGTGTTATACGTCGTATCGGTATAGATGAAAGGGAAGCGTCTGGTGATATATATTGATAAAGCCGCGAGATGAAACAGTGTTGTGTTCTCGAGACGCGGTGTTTACTCCGCTACTTATACCTCTTTGCTGGTGTCGCAGATCTTGTGTGACGTACCCAGTCCGCTGGCACAGCTGTCAAAACACATTCCTCGAAGATCAGAAACAGGAAACGTGGGTATTCGATCGCTAGTGATAAGGCCGCAGTAGGAATGGCCCAGGAGTGAAAGGAGTTACAGGCGGGGATTGCCCGTCCAAATCCGCTCGGGATGACGCGCAGTGCGTCGCTAAAGCGTGGAGACCTATCACGGGGCAGTGGAAAGCAGCGTTGTGTATGGCTGCTTGAACTGGGCAGGTCCAGATTTTGGGCAGTGCGGCTCTAATCCGGGACGATCAAGGTCTTGAAGTCAATTGTCTTCGCATGCCGCGCACTTGGCTCCTTGGCTGCCAGCGGGCGGTAAGACGATAAGGCGCAGATCGTAGGCGGTGCTGAATAATGCTGGGTTGAAATATCCACTGCGGCTTTTTTTCGTAATGGCCTTACGCGTATGTCTCGAGCAAAAGATGGCGATGCTCTTGGTTTTGCGGATAGCGTCGTCGATGGTGTTGAAGTCAGACTACTGCAGATTGCCGAGAGGATCCCAAACCCGCGTAGATTTCCAAGAAAGCCAAGATCATGCCTTGATTGCGATGCAACACTCACAGATTCTGGCAATACGTAGGTGGAGTCATGTAGGCAGATCTTGGGCCATAATAGATAGATGAAGGTTGTTTGGAAATATTGAATCTTCATACTGACTCCTGAGCTCCAGAGAAGCGCGGCAGCTCTTGGGGAGGGCAATCGCCGGCTCAGCATGTCTGGGTCCTATGGCGGTGCACGCTTGGTGATGGTAAGAATAGCGAAAGAGAGGCCGAAAACATTTTGGAAATGCGAAATACTCATTGGGCGACGATGGGGGTCCTCTCGATGCGCCGTTTTGGAGAGATGAAGTGACGGAAGCGCGGTTGGCTGGCAGGGGCGATGGCTTGACGCGTCGAAACGGGTGGCGCGTGCCTTGTGGCCTTATCGCCGAGGCAGCCACAGCTATCTCCAGGCATCATCATCACTCCGGACCCGTCTTCCCCACCATCAGCCAAGTGCCATCACAACCTTGGAACACCCACATTACTATCTATCACTATGACGAACGACAGCGATAATCCTCGACGCGATTCCAACCGACCCGAAGACAATCCGTTCATCGCATTCCGCCGCTTCGCCGATTCCCAGGTCTCGTCGCTACTCAACACCGTCTTCACCCTTCCCGCCACCATCGCCAACTACAACAACGCGCACCAAGCACGTGAGCAGTGCCTTTTTGGCAAGGCCGATCCAAGACAATGCGACAGGCTTCACGACATTGAAGCCGACATCGCCGAGCTGCGCCACGAAGGCAGAGAACTGTTCAGAGTTGGCGATGTGCAAGCTGTCTTGCGCAACAGCGAGGAGCTGATGAGGCTCGACCGCAAGGCTGACGACATTAGAATGGAAATACTTGGCAATGCGAGGAGAGGCGACGAGCAGCAAGTTGCGCGACGCGACGATGCTAGCCTGGTTGAAAAGGTAGCCAACGAGAAGGGTCAAGAGTGGGGATGGTCATGGGACTGGGGCTTTCCTCGGCCATTCGATCACGACGGCCGCAGCCCACCAGCCAACTCGGAGGAAGAAAGATCAAGGGATTGGGTGCAGTTGGAAAGATTGCTGCGGATGCAGGCAGAGGCGAAGAGGCTGGCCGAGGATTTCAACGACAAGGCCTGGGACGACCGCGAGACGGAAGTTGCCAGATTCAACAACTATGAGCCTAGCCCTGAAGATGGCAAGCCTCGCGTCTGGTCATGGTCCAAATCATGGCAGTGGCCACCGCCAGCAGATGCATCGCAGACCGACGACCCCGCATACTCTCCCCGCGCACTCGAGCAGAACCGCGAGATGAACAAGGCCGGCGTACCTTGGCAGGCAGCCTACGAGGACCTGCTAGCAGAGCAAGGCGAAGTCTCACATTGTATGATGAGGTCCGACCGACCGGCTTGGGGACCAAGGAAGATACCAATTACGCAACAACAGTTGGAGGAGACGATACAAGGGAAGCTAGAGCCCGAATGTCCTGGCGCCATGGAGTCTGACATGTCCGACAAGTACTGGACTCACGGCAAGATCCCGATCACACAACGCCAACTGGAGGAGCACATGGACCGCAACGATGCGCCCAGCTGCCCTCGCCTTGGGACACACGACGAGCCAAGCTACGAGTACAGCCACGATCACGAAGACCAACATGACGATCCGCCTACGCCGAAACAAGACCGCTTCCCCTACGCCGACACAGTCAGACGTGACACATACAACACTGTTCTAGACGCAGCACACGAGAGAGATGAGGACTCGGAGACCGAGTTGGATGCGTACGAACGTATGGAGGCTGTGTCACAACACTCACCCTTAGCCCCCGGGCCTTTCTCGGTAACGTCTGCGGTTGCTGAGCGGATGAAGGAGGACAAGCCTTCGATTCTCTCTACACTTACGACGACCGAGCGGACCGTTGCTTCAGACGGCTCTATTACGACCAAAGTCGTGCTCAAGAAACGCTTCGCTGATGGACGAGAGGAGAGCTCGGAGACGGTGCATACCCAGCGCGGCCAAGAGACCGAAACTCAGCAGCGCGATCCTTGGAGGGCTTTCCACGACATCCAGCCAAGGCCAGCCGAGCCAGAGAACCAAGAGCGGAAGAAGAGGAGTGGGTGGTTCTGGTCCAGCTAGACCTGCCATATGGGTGAAGGATGTTTGCACGTGGTATATGAGTGTGAGTCTATTTATGGGTGCTTGGCGAAATCTTGGGCTGGGCATGACCGTTGAATTTGCGAACACCGCTCGTTCTTGTTGATCTATGTTATCATGTTATTCATATTTGCGATTTTTGAGTACTTGGCTGCGCATACCCCTCTCAATCAGATACAATCCTTGCTTTACGCGCTCATCGGAGCGATTCATACTAGGTCCATGCGGAAGAAATGTCGCTGTAGTATACACTTGACACCCAAAGGAAAGACAGCTCACTCCTTACCACATATAGCAGCATTGTGTTTGCAAGTATCAAGTAAGAGATATCATAAATTCGTCATAAAAGCTAAGAAACCACATCACCGCCATCAAGGCGAGATTGGTACCGTCACCGGATCAGACACCATCCTACTATGCTGCGACACCGCAACACTCTTACTCCTCTCCTTCACACTCATCGTCTCCGGGACGATGGTGGGCGCTCTCGAGACTCCATCATCCCAGCCACTGCCATTCGGCTCCGTCTTCTCGAGACCCCATACGCCATCCGCAATGGCACGCGCCTTGTACTTGATGATAAGGCCCACGGTCACGGGTCCGAAGATGGTGTTGAGCACAATGGCCCACACGGCGGTGATGAAGGCTTCCTTGGATAGATACGGTGTGTTGTTGAGCCCGATCTGTACGACGAGCAGACCGATCTCACCACGCGCTACCATGGCGGAACCGAGGAGCATCGCCGGCCAGAATGTGGTGGTGAAGCACTCGCGGATCGACATACCTGGCGGTCTGCGGAAGATGGTAGCGAAAGGTATGACGAGGCCGACGATGACTTTAGAGACAAGCATGAGCAACGTGTAGACGAAGCCCTTCCAGAATGCCTCTGCGGTCCACAGGTCGATGAAGGGGATAGCGAAACCAATCGATGCGAAGAAGAGAGGTTGCAAGAGGTATTTGACAGCATCGAGGAAGTACTTCTCAAACGTATGCATGAATGTAGGGCAGATGGACGGTTCACCCGCATCATCGTACTCTGTCGCTTCGGCAATAGAGCGCGCTTCCGCTTCCTCTGCATCTTCGCGCGAAGGCGGGTGGAAGGGACCGGTCGGGTGCTTGGAAGGGAGGTAGGTGAGGAACGCGCCGGCCATGAAGGACCCGTAGAGGACGGATGTGCCGCCGAAGCCTGTGATGCTGAGGAAAGCACACAAAACGAAGATCATAATGATGACGTTCACGACGTGGCGTTTGCGTGTCTTGGGGAGGCGTGGTTCGATCAGTTTCCGGTATAGAGGCGCGATTGCCCATTTGTTTAGGACGGGAGTGAGGATGG